GAAGTGTTGGGTTTTACCGATCCGACATAACGTAACAGGACTTTCAATGGCAAACGTGCTGCTGGTCCCCAAGGGTCCTTCAGTGCTGCTAGTAAAGTCGGTAACTCACGATTGCGGGTTGGGCTTCGGGCCCTTCGCAATTGCATTTGTCCTGAACGACGCGGGGAAATACCGAGGGTTTCGCACCTTCTCTCCTTCCCTCCGGTCGTGGGATTACACAAGTCCGGGAGGATCGAGTTGTGTGAAGAATTACGAGTGGCACCTAAGGGATCGCTTGTAAGGTTGTCGATTGGACGTTTTCATTAACGTACGTCACAACACTTCACCACCCATTGTATTCTCAATGCCTCCGGAACTCAACGATTTCCCTAACGAAACGAAACAACGGTATACAAACTAAGTAATACAAAGTGATAGGAAAACGTCGGGTTTTCCTAGGGTTTTCAACAATTACAACTTATGAATTACCGGTCGAATTTTTCACAACTCTTACGCTTACATTTATAGAATTCAAACATGCATACTCATGGATCAACACATATTTTTACACTATTCTATTATTAGAAAATATCGGATTTTCTGACGGGTTTCAAACATTACATTGGATTTCAAACTCTACTTATGAACTCACCAACATTTCGTATGTTGACGTTTTTCAAAATACTTGTATTCTCAGGTAACAGATAAGGTGACGGATGATTTATACTCTATGATGTTTGCTGTGGTTTAAGTGATGTTGAACAGTTATTTTGAGAATGTAACGTTTGAACAATGTAACGAATGTAAACACTATCGGTTGTACTATTCCAAATGTTGGTGATGTTTTATGTTATGTTTCATGTATATGCATTGTAATGGTATTCAATGAGTCACGATAGCCCTCGGACGTTTCCGCCGTCTGGTTCGGGGGTGTGACATTGTCACAAGAGATCATTCGTGATATGTAGATATCAAATAAAAACGATCACTAGGATAGTCAGGAAATGGTTGTGAGTCCTAAGTGTGACATCCCCAAAATCTCGGCCAGAAAAGACCGATTTTCATTTATGCTTTTAAAATAATTTCAGAGTAAATCCTTTTGATTTGAAAGAGTTGCGGAATTTGTTCCCAAAAACAAAACATGATAAAATAATATTTACCAAAGCATTTCATAAAAGAAATGTATTTTCATTATATAATCAAAACTCGGGTTGTCATGTTCCGATACAGACCATAAAGCATAAACGATAACATTACAAGTCATTAAACAAATATATACATATACAAACTTGTAAACAAAACAACTTGATGCTTCATCCATCTTATGCCCTTGCGCCACTTCTTGTAATACAAATAAAACTGAGTGGGTCAGGCTTGTGAGCCTGGTGAGCATATAGGGTTTTCAACCCAAAATAAATAATTAAATTTAATTCCACCAATCAACAATAACTCAATTACCCATTCCCGTTATTCTCACTTTACGTCCCTAAAACAACTAACACAAGGGACCTAGTCTTAGAATATTTCATCGGGGCGACAGCACATGCATTCAGGGGTTTCCCGGCAATATATGTCAAATAAGGCAACCATGAGGGGGATGGAGTACAGCGAATGAACACCCAAGTTCATTAACACCTACAGGTGGCGAACCTGCTAGCGTTCCACAGGACTGTCTAGAAAAGTCTGTGGTCGTCATCTAAACTCCGCTAGATGACTGAATCAAAAACAACATCGAGGCCTCTCATCTGTTTATCACACGTCAACTATCTACCCATGTTCTACCCGACATATTAGTAGATAAAAATATATATTTTTATACATAGTTTAAAACCTGCATAGCATTCTCATTCAATACATATTCCAAAACAACATATGAGACACATAAACATAACACATATTTCATAGAGAACAAATCATATCTATGAGATAGAAGAAAGTGAATATACATTCACGCATATAACAACAAAATATACACATAACACGTATTTTATATTAAATACTTGATAATTATGCGTTAGAAGAAAGTAACCACACACTCACTTGATCAGAAGATGATCGGACAGCACTACGACTTGTAGAAGTAGTATTCTTCGGCAGATCTGGAAGATCTTCACAAAAATCGGACTCCTCACGGGCAGAGCTTCGGCTTGGGAATCGCACTTCTCGGGAACTTCAGGGCTTCGGGACTTGCTTCGGGGCTCGGGAATGATACCGGGGCTTTGAGATAATTCTTGCACGAAAAACGATGCAAAAACGCGAGAAAAAGAGAAGAAATGAGCAAACTACTCGGCTGCCCTCGACACCCTTTTATAGGGGCTGGAAGGTCGAATTACGTTGGGCGTAACGACGATAAGGTCGCTGACTCCCCCCCCCCCCTTCGGATAATATTGAATATATATATATATATATATATATATATATATATATATATATATATATATATATATATATATATATATATATATATATATATACACACAATATCGAAAATATTTAATAAACTTCAAAAATTCATATCTTCCTCATTCAAACTCCGTTTTCGACGTTCTTTATATCCACGCGTAGGTGAGACTACTATCTACAACTTTCTTTTAGACTCTGTCGGCTAATTTTGATTTTATTTTTATTATTTATTTTTAGTAGGTCGGGATAGGAAAATTCCGTTATAAATTCATAACTTCTTCATCCGACGTCCGTTTTCGCCTATATTTTTATTGTTTTACTCCTATTAACGAGACCTTCGATTCTCATTTAGATTGTTTCGGCTAAAAACCGCTCGATCTCAAATCAAGTATTCGGGCTGCATACTGCTAAGTCGAAACTTCGAAAAATCATAACTTCCTCATACGAAGTCAGATTTTGGCGTTCTTTTTATGCACGCTCTCGGTTTAACGAAATCTACGACTTTCGTTTAGATCACTAAGGCTAAGTATTGATCTAACGTAAATTTCACTTTTTACGTCATTCAGCATTTGTCGGTTCTATCGCGAAACTTCGACAGGTCATAACTTCTGCGTTATAACTCGTATTTCGGCATTCTTTATATCTTCGGAATCCTTGTTTCGACCACTACATCTTTATGCAAAGATATTGGGATTATCCCACACTTCAAATTTGACGCTTATTTTATTCTTAATTCATTAAATTATAATAATTAAGAAAATAAATACATAATTCACATAATACTCAAATATTTCATCATTAATACTTCAAAAAGAGTTACAAGGGTTAACCTAGACTATTACATCAATGATAATGCCTAGCCTGGAAACGCAGACGTTACACTAAGGACCACCGAAGGTTTGATTGTGAGTCTTCAAGCATGGGGGATGATGACAAGAGCAATCTCACATCAAAATCACGACGTATTCTGAACGAATTGCTTGAACAATTTTTATACATCGAAGTAGGTAATGTAGTCAAGACCTTTTGTGTCGACATTTATATCGAGTAGATTGTGTTGACATTTCACGTCTGAAGGCGATCGTCATTCCCAGCATGTAATTTTGTAGAGGCACAAACCAATGAATTCCTGGTTTTGGATGACTTCGTGAGGAGTTTGGTAGTAGATCTATAGTAGAAAACGAAGTTCAACAACCAAATAATTATAGATAGATGAAGGTGGTAGGGGAACACAAGTTAGATATTAGGTTAACCTTATGAAACCTCAATAGGATTGTATAGGAACTTTCTTAAGGTGCGCTAGGGGTAGGATTTCGGGATAAAATCTCTATAAGTGGAGGAGAGTTGTAACACCTCATTTTTCACCTTATAGTATAAACAACTAGTCATAAAAATATGTGTCTTTGATAGAAGACTATTTAGGATAAATAGTATTGACGAAAGTCAGAGTAATCACAAAAGTGAGAGCGTGTGTATAGAGAATGTCCAGGTCTGACTACATAAGAGGAAGTTGTGATTTTGAGAAGTTTTAGCGCAACATTGTATGACACATAAATTGAACTAGAAATCGGTTAATTGTTAGGAAAAACAATCTGAATGAAAGTCGAAGATCTTATCCATGTGATTCCATATGATAGATATCTAGTTTTTATATGGGCTTTAACAGTCTAATCCTATTAAAAATATAGCTTTAAAATTAAAGTAAGAATTAGCCGACGGAGTCTAACTGAAAGTTGTAGATATCATCGATAGCTACAAATTGATATAAAGAACATTGGAAATGGAGCTCGTATGAAGAAGATATGGAATATACAAAATCCATGTTTTGTACCTTTCACTACGTACGATCCATTGAAATGGTTAGTTAGTAGTAAGGAATCAGTGAATACCTAAAGATCCTTAATTTGAAGATCCTTGTCTAACTTGTATGGTATCATCATCGACACCTTAATGTGGAAGTTTAGCAACCAATTTTCAATAGGTATATTTATGTAACTCAATTATTTGACTTTACACACACATAACACAACATTATTAAATGGGGTTGATAATTTTTGTTCTTCGTCAATTTTCAGTGTCCACTTCTGAACATAAATTATTGCCCTCCAACTGAAACGGATCTATCATCTGGCAAAAAATTGGTAATGAGATGCTTTATATTTTTATCTTCTCCATGAAAGTCAGCAAAAACTATTATATGTTGTATATATACATAAAAGCAAAAACTGTTATATTCTATAGCAAAAACTGTTAAAGTCTTATAACCAAAAGTTCAAAACCTAGGGTGGAAGAGATCTGATGTTATAAGACTTCCAGTGAGTATCATTTTAGGTTTTGAACTTTTGGTTGCATCTAAATCACTTTTTTTTGGGATAATAATAACAATAATAATATATTATGCATATTATATGTGAATATATAACAGGTTGTGAGTAAGAATATTGTTGTCTATGACTCGAATGGAAAAGAAGTAGAGTATCAAATTCTGCTCATAGTAAATGACACTGTTGCCCTTAGAAACTACTACACTAGTGCATATACTAGTAAATCACCAATTTCAACTCCCAAGTATTCACTTGTATTTACAGCATCTGTTCCACCTCTGGGATTTACCACCTATGTCATTTCACAACAGCGCTTGTCAGCATGCTGCTCCAACCTTTGTCAATTTAATGAATGCTGGAATTCTTAGGCATGCTACACATAATAAGAATATGACCATACAAACACGTAATCATCCACTACCAATAACAGGAAGTCAACGCCTCCAACGTGAAGTATACATATACTTCCAATTATTCTTCTATTTATGCTCATATATTATAATTTTGTCTACGATAACATGCAATCAGAATATTGGCACCTTTATATGTAGTGTGTATTTAAATAGTGATTTGTATGATCTTGTAGGACCTAGATGCATTCTCTGTGGCTATTGTTGTGAGTATTGCCTTCTCTTTCACTCCTGCTTCGTTTGCTATTGCTATTATGAAGGTATGCTACTCTCGAGTTGTCTTTTTCATATAATTGACAAGGAGCTGTTGTATCTATTCAGACTAGGCTTAGAGCAATGGTTGCAGGAGATGAGTTCAGAATAAGAAGAAGAAGAAACAAGGATGCAACTATAGTTAAGGTGTAATGGATGAATTATGTTTGTAAAGTATTTAAGAAAATAATTAGAAACAAGGGTGAATTTGTAAAGATTAGTTAGCTACATGGAGGTTGATCTTGAGTAAGCAAAGGGGAAATGAATTGTATTTTTTGTATCTAATTCGTTTATAAAATCTTTAAACAACTTCTATTGATTTGTTTTACCTTTCCATGGAGCGATTATTTGTATGACATTAAATTTTATGCAATGGATTGTAATTTTTATATATGATATTTTATTTTCTATTATGAGACATTAAATACAAATTTAATTTGAAAATTAGTAAATCTATAAATAACATTTTTTTAAACGTTTTTAAAATTATTATACGCAAAAATGTGTGTCATCTTTATTTATGACATGTCCTTTCTTCATAGTGTCTTCCTTGACATGCAATGCGTGTCGTAAACGCATGTCGTAGTTTCACATCGTAAATAGACGACGCGCAAAAGTGTGCCATCTTTTGTTATGATAGGGCCTTTGACACGCATTTGCAAGTTGTGACATCCCCAAAATCACGGCCAGAAAAGACCGGTTTTGTTTATACTTTATTTCAAAATCAGAGTTATCTTTTAATAAAAGGGTTGCAGAATTTGTCCCAAAACAATAATATGATAAAGATTTATCAAAAACATTTCCATAGAAATGTATTTCATTAAAAGACTCGGGATGTCATGTTCGTACAGATCAAAAGTATAAACAGTACAATATAAGCCTTACTACATTATTTCATATCTACAAGCCTATATCCGTAATCCCTCGTCCAAAACATCACACCTATGCTCATGCGCCACTACCTGTAATACATAAAACTGAGTGGGTCAGGCTTCGGAGCCTGGTGAGCACATAGGGTTTTCAACCTACAATAAATAAGTTTATTAATTTCATCAATCAACAATAACCCGATTACCCGTTCCCGTTTTCCTCACTTTACGTCCCTAAACACCTATCATAAGGGACCTATCCTAAGGATCATCATCGGGACTGACACTACTGCTAAGGGGGTTCCTCAACAATAAATGTCCTAAAGGCAACCATGTGGGGGGATGGAGTACACCGGTGAACACATCGTTCACAAACACCTACAGGTTGCGAGCCTGCTAGTGTTCCACTGGACTGTCTAGAAGAGTCCGTGGTCGTCATCTATACTCCACTAGATGACTGGATCAACAACAACAACATTGAGGCCTCTCATCATTTTATCACACATCGTCTTATTACATCTACCCATGTTTTACCCCAACATTTTTTTTAGATATAAATACATATACAGTTTAAATCATTTAAAACTTGTATAAAAACATTCATCCAGCATAGATAACAAGTATATAGATAATATGCACACATAACACGTAATATATAAAATACTTCATATCTATGTGTAAGATGAAAGTAACTATGCACTCACCTGATTAGGTGGTGACTCAGTACTCGGACAGCGCTTCGATACTCTCAAAATGATATTCCTTCGATAAAACCTACTATCGATACCACTAGGGTTTAGTCTAATGATAACCGCGATAAATTAATTATCTGACTATTATTATTATTATATAAGCGTTAATAACACTCAATATAACTCATAATAATAGCCCAAATAATTATTTTAAGGACCTAATAACATTCCTATATTAAAACATAAGCTAAACTAAAGATAGGATAGGTACAGCTCACTTACAGCGGATTTTTCTAGAAAATCGGGCTTCGCTGGAGCAGCGTTCCCGAGCCGAAAGGCTCTTTTCTTGGAACTCCGGGAGCCTCGGGGCTTCCTTCAGGTGCTAGGGGGTTTACCTAGGCTTTAGGGGGCTTAAGGAGGCTTAGAGAGAGAGTGTAGAGAGAGAAAGAAGAGGGTTGAGGTGTGAAGAGAAGGCTAGACCCGACACCTCTATTTATAGTGCAAAAATCTGATGGACTCGCCGAGTAGGGGGGACCTACTCGCCGAGTTGGTCCATGTGGTGGCCTTCTGGTGATGCCACGTGTCCAATTCTAGTGGTGCCACGTCACCCCCTATCGCGTATCAGCCCTCGAACTTGGAAAAATCATAACTTTCTCATACGAGCTCCATTTTCGACGTTCTTTATATCCATGCATAGGTAAAATCAAGATCTACAACTTTCGTTTAGACTCCGTCGGCTAATTTTCGACCGATCTCGAATTTAACAGTAGGAGGCGTTTAGATTGTTAAATGACCGCGAAAAATTCATAACTCCTTCATACGGACTCCGTTTTTGTTTGTCTTTTTACCGTTGAGTTCCTATTAATGAGATATTCAACTCTCATTTAGGTCGCGTAAGCCAAAAAACCGCTCGAACTAAAATTCGAGTTTCGGGCCGTGCACTGCTAAGCCGAATCTTAGAAAAATCATAACTTCTTCATACGAAGTCAGATTTGGGCGTTCTTTTTATGGATTTTCTCGGTTTAACATATTCTACGACTTTTTTTTTGATCACTAAGGATAAAAAGTCTTCTATCGTAAATTCACTATTTACGTCTCCCGGTGTCGTGCCGGTTTTGCCGTAAAACTTCGGCGAGCCATAACTTCTTCGTTATAACTCAGATTTTGGCGTTCTTTATATCCCCAGAATCCTGGTTTCGACCACTACGACTTTATGTAAAGATATTGGACTTATCTCACACTTTAATTTTGACGCTTATTTTTATTCTTTATTAAATATATATATTTATAATAAAGTAATAAGCACACAAATACACATAATTCACATAGAATTAAAATATTTCATCTTTATTACATCAAAAAGAGTTACAATAGTTGACCTAGACCATTACATTGAAAATTATGCTTAGCCCTGAAACCCGGGTGTTACACAAGTCATTTAAGCGTTTTACGACACGCATTGTACATCGTAAAAGGCTCTTTTTCTAGTAGTGAAATGTTCCTTTCACCAAGAAAAGAGATTTTGTCTTCACAAAGAAGACAGGTTTGTCACCAAGACAATTGACACAAAGCCACGAATCCTAACACAACATTACGGTTTATCCTAATGTTGTACATATATGAATCTATACATGTATATCCCTTGATTGATAGGATTGAATCTAATCTATATTTAGAACCAAACTTGTTAAGTTGGTGTTGGCGTTGTCAACATGCTGACACTAATGGATTAGCCTGTTATGTGTTTGACTGCCACCCACTACCAACATAAACCACCACCATCCACCACTACTATTGTTGACGTCGAAGCCCCTTCCCCCCACCACCTCAACCCTCGTATTTTCCTTCACTTCCTAAAACAACCACTACCAAGGGTGATGTTGTTGTGGTGACCGCCGCGAGACACTACAATCTCTAATCCCTCTTTTTTTTTGTTCAATTAGAACATGCCTTAGAGCCAGCCACCACCTACTTCCCTCCCTCGCATCGAACTTATCGGAAATAGAAGCAGCATGAAGATGTTGTGCAACCTCCCATTGTAATCGATCGTCACCCTCTCTTTTCCCTCACCGATCGACTGTCGTATGCAAGGAAGGAAGCAGAGGGATGCATCGCCGCTTGTTGCCACCACTTTCCTACTATTGTTGATATGTTCCGACCACCACCTTGCAATTTTCGAACCAAGAGAAGCATCGGAGGTGCTCCTCCCTCTCAACAAAAGATCACCCAACGATCAAGCAACACCACCAAGCCCTTGGCCATTTCTATTGTGTTTCTATTTTGGCCATTCAAAGGTCAAAGGAACTCAAAACTTGTTTTAAAGTGTTCAAAATCAACCCTCCCTTGATTAAGTTAATTAAAATCAGTCCAAATCCCCCAAAATTGATTCCATTTATCCTAAACAACCCCTCATTTGGTATTTATTAACCAAAATAGTCCCATTTGATAAAGAAATTACAAACCAGCCCGTCCAATTGTTTAGAATTTACAAAATAATACCTCTTGATTTAAATCATTACAAGAATAGTCCCTTTAGTTAAAGATATTACCAAAACGACCCAGGTGGTTTGTTTCAACATAAGAAGAAGTAAGTTGTGGTTCTCACGTCATGCATCACCAAACCAAATCTAGTCCGAGTTCAGGCCTCAAGGGTGAGTATTTACGGCCCCTTTTTAACATTTTCATTATTTTGGGGGAGAATACATACAAAAAACATATATCAATTATGAAAAATGCATGTTGAACTCATATTTAGCTTAAATCAATATTTTGTTTGTAACAACCCAATTTACAAGGTAAAATTTTCATTTGAGAATAAGCAAACATGATGTCATACATTAAGAAATCCAGTTATAATTGTTTTCAAAACATAAGTCTAATACAACTTTTATTCCAAACATCAGTGTCCCAAAAAGTCTATGAGATAGTGCGCGTCGCGCCATCACGCCTTGCCCTTGGAATCTGAAGTACCTGAAACCATAAACAAACCTGTAAGCACGAAGCTTAGTGAGTTCCCCAAAGCATAGCCCACACAACAAGCACATAACATGCAAGCTATAGAAGCTACCTCTACCACATACACATATCCATCAGCTATAAAGCTACCTTAACCACTTACACATATAATTCAGTTATAAAGCTACCTCTACCACATAACACATATCAATTAGCTATAAATCTATCTCTACCATTAGCCACAAGGCTATCACTACTCTTAGCCATACATGCTATCTCTACCATTAGCCATACAGGCTATCTCTACCATTAGCCATACAAGCTATCTCTACCACATATCAATCATAAACATGCCACACACCTCTACACAACAAGTATACCAAACATCATAAAATATGCCGGCCTTGGTGCCTTATACCCATTAGTATGGTGAGAAGACTCACATCGCACTGTTGAAGCTTCCCGCACGAATTCCATTGTTGATACTTTGCCAACTTCCCGAGCTGCCTCTACCAAACAATATACCCAATTAGCAATTGGATCCCAAACCATAATCCTTAATCCATGCATGGGGTAAAATGACCATTTTACCCCTGGCCCAGTATGATCCAGAACTAAGGCCCAATCCTTAAAATAAAACCCAACACTGGGTAGGCTTTCCAAGCCCACTAGTGGTCTACAAATGGCACAACTTGCTCAATTGGGCCCAATCCCTTTAATGGGTCTTACCCTAAGCCTAAACATGTTGCTGGCCCAAAACATATGACTCCTAATGGCCCACTGAAGCCTAATGACCCAAAGTCCATTGCTTGGCCAACCCGAGGCCCAAAACTCTACAAGCCAAAAACGGATGAGTACGCGGGGTGTACTCTACGTACGCTAAGCGTACAGGCAAGATGGTGAGTACGCTGGGCGTACTTGCACGTACGCTCAGCGTAATTCCCCTATTAAGTCCTTTTTCCATTAAGCGCTTATTACTCCACTCCAGAGGCTACAAACTCAGATCCACGTCCTTTTCCATGTCTTATTCCATAAAGTCACTGACTTAGTGACTTTACTTGGCCCAAACAAACCAAACTCAAAAAATAATCTTCTACTTCCATAAAGAGGGCTAGATCTCATGCATGATTATGAATGGACCATCAAGTTCGAAGCTTTACTGCTCATGAAACACTCTTAGCCTTAAGGATGGCAACCCCATGCTCAAAAACGAGATTTCATTATAAAGGTCCAATCTTGGGACCCAAAATGACTCCAAAACTTCACTACACTAGATCTATGCATCCGTAAGTAAAGTTATGAACTTTATACCTCCACAAAGTCCAAATGATGATGCTAATCCAGATCTATCAGCTCCAACTTCGAAAGTTATTCCTTGTTAACTTCTTCTTTTCCTCTTCCAAGTTTACACCACCAAAATGAGCTTCTTAAGGAGAAAATCACTCAAGAATGAGGGAATGAGACGTTTTAGGGTTTTCTGAGGGTAAGGGAACAGATAAGGAGGCTAGGGCTTGAACCAATATGTTCTTTATATAGTGGCATGCCCTAAAATTAGGGTTTCTGGACATTAGACGTACGTTGGGCGTACTCCAGAAGGCACCCGTGATCATTTACCCTTATACGCTGGGCGTACCCCTTACGTTGGGCGTACTCGCGCGTTTGCCACTTTTCATGCGTGGTTCTTCTTGCCATTTATTTCCATTAGGGGCCATTTCTGTCAATAACTTAAAGTGTCATAACTCCTTCGTTCCAAGTCCGTTTCCGACGGACTTTATATCCACAAAAAGGTGGCGAGAAGCCCTACGCTTCTAGCGATACTCCCCGACCCAAAACCTCTCGAATAAAAAACTCAAAACCCATAAAAGACCGAAACTCCCCTAACCTTGCCCTTTGAAACCCATAAACGCATATTTTCAGAATAGGGTGTTACAACTCTCCCCCACTTAACAAGACTTCATCCTCGAAGTCCGCCACAACCAACTATCCTGCACCCTTGCGACTCGTCGAGTGCACCCTCGCGACTCGTCAAGTCCCCTCGTATCCTCATAAGTCTCACAAAGCCCAGTTCAACTCATCGACTTGACCCCCAACTCGCCGAGTTATCGCACAATCAACCCATCGGGACAAACCCTCACTGATTCGTCGAGTCAGGCCATGGACTCGGCGAGTCCCTTTGATCAGATTCCTCATTTACACGATTCAAGGCAGATCCATCACTCCAAACACTAGATCTACCATCCTAAGGGTTGATTGTCACATAAAGCTACAAGCTTTACATTTAAACATGGCATGCAAGGCTTATAATGCCAATATAACTCTAACAAGGATGATTAACCACAATAACTCTTACATGGCTAGATAAAACTATAATCTTTGGACTCTCTGGAGCTCACAAAGTTCAGATCTGAAATCTAGACCTCAAAAGGGACCTTATGCATCAAAGTCCTAACAATGGTGGAAGAAACCCTAATCTTCCAAAGCAACAAGATCTAAGCAAAATAACAAGAAAGGTGCAAGCTTTTACATCTTGCTCAAGCCTTTGCACGAAATTACACCAGATCCATTGATTCTCCAGCTTCCTTGTTGGATGATCTTCTTCTCCTCAAGAGATGCACTAGACTACTTCAAGATTTAGCTTCCAAAACTCTCATGGCTCTCTATGCACGTTTAGGGTTTTCTCTCAAATAAGGGTAGCCACAAATGAGACTATAAGTGCCTTTAAATAGCTCCTAAACCCCAAAAATTAGGGTTTCTCTGCCCAACACCTGCTCGGCGAGTCCCTCATCTGAGTCCACTCATTAAATCCACAGGAGAAACCCGACTCGACTTGGCAAGTTGGACCCTTAACTCGTCGAGTCTCTCCTTCAATCTCAAGAGTAATATAAACAATAATATCCCTGAAGATCCGACTGTTACAAATTCGGGTATCGGGTATTTTCAACAGGGCTATATTACACTGTTAACGACCGTGTAAAATTCATATCTTCTACATACTGACTCCGTTTTCGATTGTCTTTTTATCGTTGAGATCATATTAATGAGATATTCAGTTCTAATTTAGGTTGTGTCGGCTAAAAATCGTTCGATCTGAAATTCGAATTCCGGGTTGTATACTGCTATGCGAAATCTTAGAAAAATCATAAATTCCTCATACAAAATCAGATTTTGACGTTTTTTTATGCATGCTATCGGTTTAACGTATACTATAACTTTTATTTAGATATCTAAGCTATAAAGTAGTTTATCAAAAATTCATTTTTTTACGATTCCCGGTGCCGTGTCGGTTTTGCTGTATAACTTCAACATATCATAACTTCTTCGTTATAACTCGGATTTCGACGTTCTTATATTTCCAGAATCCTTGTTACGATGACTACCATTTTCTTCATAGATATTGGGTTTATCTACACTTTTATTTTTGACGCTTATTTTCACTCTTAATTTATTATATTTTATAAATAAGTATAAAGCACATAAATTCACATAATTCACATAATATTCAAATAATTCATCTTTATTGCTTCAAAATATGTTACAATGGTTGATCTTACTATTACATCACTGCACTAATACTTAGCCCAGAAACACGGGCGCTACATTAGTAGTTTTATCCATCTCGTAGCTTTAAATTTATAGTTTTGATAGTACGTTGCTATAATAGTAAAACTTAGAGTCTTAGATCTAAGGTGCATGTACACTTAGGGTTTTTATTAAATGCTTCCGCTGCCTAAATTTCGTGTATAGATGTCTAGAAAACCCTTCAATGATACACATAAAATATTAGACACATATCATCATACCCAATTAAATAGAGAGAAATTAAATATTCTCTTATTTTTTTGTTCCTACAAATCATCATACACAATTAAATAGTAATACATATAACATTTAATGCTCATTTAATGAAATTTAGTAATATTTTTGTATACTAATATGATACATATTATAATTAACATAATTTAATTTGATAGGAGGATTTACAAAAACAAGAGTAAAAAAGATATTTAATTTCTTCTAGACATATTATTAACCAAGAAGCCAACTCCTCACAGAGTTCTTGTAGTTTACTTTATTTTTAAGTAGCGATAATTAGTCAACCATCTTGAGAAAATAATTCCCCTTCTAATGATGTATAAGGTATGGAAACCAATTATATTTGCCCTATTTCATCAAATAGTGTAGCGACTCAAAAGAAAGAGACAGAGTTGATCTCTCTCTCACACTGATCTCGATCGTCAGGTAAGGTCTCTCTCTATTATTGAATTTATGTACCGATTTCTATCTGGATTTTGCTTTCTATATGATTTGTCGATCTTTTAGGCTCCGAAAAACCCCAAAATGTTGTCGGTTTTTGTTTTCTGTTGTGAAGTACTATAATTGATGATCAGATGAAGCAAATAGTAGAGTAGCATTGTTTTAATGATCGAACAGGTGGTTTGTAAGTTTCATATGTTGATGTTTTCTTGCTGGTTTCCTTTTATATACGTTACGACCAAGTCTTCGTTCATATCTAATACGCCCATAAAACAAAATTGAGCGACTTGACTCTACTCTACTCGTGTGTTAACGTTTCCAGTCTTCATTCAACGCAAGGTCTGCTGTTAGAAGAGGGAGAGAGGGAGCAATTGAATTTTCACAGAAGTCTCGTCTTAAGGGCTCTTGCCATAACCCCAGCAAAAGAAGGTAATTGGACCTTAAGCGTTTGTTTGCACATCGCCTGCCTTTTTATTTTTCTCAGTTGCATTTTTCTTGATATGAATCTTAATTGTTTGTGATTGGATGAGGTGTTTCTATTCAATTCATCATCTTTATGCTTGCTATCCTCATGTGTTTGGTTTTGAAATTCATCAATGTCCAATTTTTTTATTTTTTTTTTTATTTATTTATTTATTTTTTTTTATTTATCTCTGTGGCCATCGATTATAAGAAATTTAATGTATATATGGATTTCTGGTCTTGGAACGTATCTAGATTCCATTTTCCTTGGATAATTTCTTAATTTGTTGTTTGTGATATATTGTTCATTGGTGATCTTACCTGATCATGATTGCTATTGATACTCATGAAGTGTTAGTGATACGAGCTTGCAGTTTGCCTATTCGGACATTACTGTTTGTCACATTAACCTCTGTATAACCAACCTTGCAGTCATGCCTTTTTTTTTTTCTTTCTATTTCTTGATACTTGCAACATGATGTCTTGTCTATTTTGACATGCTTAACAGGTGTAGTTGATCATTTTGAAGGCCTTGAATGAGTGTATGATATGATATATATATGTCTCTGTGAGGAGAAACCGTTTTCTGCTGCTGGATTTTGAGGGAAGAAAGGTTAAGTTTTGATCTCTATTGTCAACTTGGAACATTTAAACAGAGACAGCAAACAAGTCTAAACCTTTCCCTAGACCTCAGACATTAATTTCCTTCTGTGCTGTTGCAATGGATGATGCCATGGAGACTGGTAATTTGGCTCCTTACCAAGATAGACCTAGGACTTTTCCAAACATGCGCAGTAAACCTAGCACACCACTGGTAATAGTTATCTTCTGTCATCTGTTAGTGTTTTCATAAACATCTTTACATTTTTTTAATCATCTTTTAGATCATGCAAAAGTGTTTTTCAGCTTCCTCCTTTGGTTCTTTTTTGTTTTATGTTGCTTCATTCGATTTCCTTTTATGCAGGTATTTCGAATTCTCATGACAATGAATGTCCGTCTACTTTTTGTGCTTATGTTCGTGGTATTTGGAGGAATTTTTTACATTGGAGCTAGCACCTCACCGATCATTGTGTTTGTGTTCTCAATATGCATTGTGAGTTTCATCTTATCAATATATCTCACTAAGTGGGTACTTGCAAAAGATGAAGGCCCCCCTGAGATGGCTCAGATATCAGATGCAATACGTGATGGAGCAGAGGGTTTTTTTAAGACCCAATATGGGACAATCTCTAAAATGGCATTATTTTTAGCAGTGGTGATATTTGGTATATATATGTTTCGCACTACAACCCCTCAACAAGAAGCTTCAGGCATAGGGAGGTGAGAATGGGAATGGATGTGTATAATTGTATATTTCTTTGATGAGTATCTTTCCATGTTTGAAGTTGTTGACAAAAATGGAAATATGTTCCTGTGTGATGCTTGTGCAGGTTAACTTCTGCATCCATCACTGTGTTTTCTTTTCTTTTAGGAGCTGTATGCTCTGGAATGGCTGGTTATGTTGGCATGTGGGTTTCTGTGCGTGCTAATGTTCGTGTTTCAAGTGCTGCAAGAAGGTCTGCAAGAGAGGCTTTACAGGTTTCTTTCTTTCTTTATTCTTACTTACATTACATAATTGGTTTCTAAGCATCTTGCTGAGCTGGCAGATTTTTCTTTTTGTTTAGATAGCAGTTCGTGCTGGTGGTTTCTCTGCCTTGGTGGTTGTTGGTATGGCTGTGATTGGTGTTGCAATCCTGTATGCCACATTCTATGTTTGGTTGGGTGTGGACACACCAGGGTCAATGAAGGTTACTGACTGTGAGTGTCCATTTAGTATAATATACTATCATTTCAAAATGAAAAAAAAAAATAAAAAAATAAATCGGTTTTCATTTTATGTCATATCATTCAGTGCCTCTTCTTCTTGTGGGATATGGTTTTGGAGCTTCATTTGTAGCCCTTTTTGCTCAATTGGGTGGTGGAATATTTACAAAAGCTGCTGATGTTGGTGCTGACCTTGTTGGAAAAGTAGAACAGGGAATACCTGAAGATGATCCCAGGAATCCAGCTGTCATTGCTGACCTGGTATCTAAATTGTTTTTGTTCTTCATTTCATTATGTTGACCTAGTATATTAAACTAAATTTTAATTTTGTGATACAAGGTTGGAGATAATGTCGGTGATTGTGCAGCAAGAGGAGCTGATTTATTCGAGAGCATAGCTGCTGAAATAATCAGTGCTATGATACTTGGAGGAACCATGGCTCAAAAATGCAAAATCGAAGGTAATCGTTTCATTCTATTAATTTACATATTTGGTCCCTTAGTATATCTGATTTTTTGCAATTGTGGTCCTTATTTGAGGTTCTTGTAATGTAACGTTTCAGAGTAAAATGGCTATTTTTGGTCCTGAGTATAGCAGATTTTCACTGTTATGGTCCAAAAAATAGTCATTTTACTCGGAACAAGGAACAAAAAAAGTACCAAAATTGCAAAAAAAAACAAATCAACTATACTCAGGGAGCAAAAATGTAATGTTGTCTATCATTTAATATGCATACTAAATTTGATTTCCATTACTACACGCATGCAGATCCATCCGGATTCATCTTATTCCCTTTGGTTATCCATTCATTCGATCTCATAATCTCATCAGTGGGGATCTTTTCAATCCGTGCCACACGTGATCCTGGAGCAATGGGAGGAGGTATGGAGGATCCCATGACAATACTCCAAAAAGGATATTCCATCACAATAGTTTTAGCAGTTATCACTTTTGGTTTCACAACACGTTGGATGCTGTACACAGAACAAGCTCCATCTGCTTGGTTTAATTTTGCTCTATGTGGATTAGTTGGAATCACAACTGCTTACCTTTTTGTCTGGATCACTCAGTATTACACAGACTATAAGCATGAGCCTGTAAGGAGATTAGCTCTTTCAAGTTCAACAGGTCATGGGACTAATATTATTGCTGGGATTAGTTTGGGTTTGGAATCTACTGCTCTTCCTGTTCTTGTGATTAGTGTGGCTATTGTATCTGCTTTTTGGTTGGGGAATACTTCAGGGTTGGTTGATGAGGCTGGGAATCCAACTGGCGGATTGTTTGGGACAGCTGTTGCCACAATGGGGATGCTTAGTACTGCAGCTTATGTTTTGACTATGGATATGTTTGGGCCTATTGCGGATAATGCTGGTGGGATTGTTGAGATGAGTCAGCAGGTAAAAATGCCAAAATACTTTTTTATTTTTATTTTTTCAGTAATTAGTATATAGCATCTAGTAGAACAAAAGTAGGTTGGTATTGTTTGCATTTAATATAAGGTTTGGGTTTGGGTATTTATTTGTGATTTGCAGCCTGAAAGTGTGCGAGAGATCACTGATATTTTGGATGCAGCTGGGAACACCACAAAAGCAACCACAAAAGGGTTTGCCATTGGATCCGCTGCACTTGCATCTTTTCTTTTGTTCAGTGCGTATATGGATGAGGTGGCATCGTTTGCTCGGGTCCCATTTGCACAGGTAGTCTTTTCATGCTGCTGCTTTAACTTCAAAATCCTAACTTAATATATGTAATTCTAATATGAGGTTGGTTTGTTACAGGTTGACATTGCTATTCCAGAAGTATTTGTGGGTGGGTTACTGGGGTCCATGCTTATCTTCCTTTTCAGTGCATGGGCCTGTGCTGCAGTTGGTAGAACTGCCCAGGAGGTTGTCAATGAAGTAAGAAGACAGTTCATTGAGAGGCCAGGCATCATGGTAGGTCCCATTCCCATTTCTTTTTAACCTCCTATGATGATGATGTTATGTTGATGTTTGGGGGTGATATATCATTTAATAGGAGTACAAGGACAAACCGGATTACGGGAGATGTGTTGCAATTGTGGCTGCTGCATCTCTGAGAGAGATGATAAAGCCTGGAGCCTTAGCGGTTATATCACCTATATTTATTGGTGTGTTGTAACTTGTATCTTTATTGTATATATAAACTATTATACAAATATATCTCCTCTAACTTTTTTTTTATTTTTTTTTTTTTATGAAGGGATTGTGTTTCGGATATTGGGTTACTATACAGGGCACCCGCTGCTAGGGGCAAAAGTAGTGGCATCCATGTTGATGTTTGCGACAGTTTCTGGTATTCTAATGGCTCTGTTCTTCAACACTGCTGGTGGTGCATGGGATAATGCTAAAAAATACATAGAAACCGGTGCACTTGGAGGAAAAGGAAGTGAAAGCCATAAAGCAGCAGTTACTGGTGATACGTGAGTGACACGCTTTGTCCATAAATCCCCTTTGATTTTAAACATCCAATCTTCCGTTTTTGCCCCTTACGTATTTGTGATATTACTAACTACAGGGTAGGTGACCCGTTCAAAGACACAGCTGGGCCTTCGCTTCACGTGCTTATAAAGATGCTTGCAACGATAACACTGGTCATGGCTCCAGTCTTTCTGTGATGCATAATATCAAATGAAGCATAATATTGCATATTGCATGCACATACAGTAGGGAGGGAGGGAGGGAGGAATCTAATTGAGTTACTTACTATATAATTACCGATTTTGTGTCAACTTGGAAGCCAGATACATGTGAAAGACTGCTGGTTGGCATAATATGAAAGAATTACTGCCGTTTTTTTTTTCAGACAACTTTGAGTGAACCTGTACTCGGTTAAGGGTTTAGTTACATCTTCCATCTAATTGCTTCTTGTAGTTAACTATTACTTTATGGGGGGTTATTGCATTATTTTTATGGAAGAGATCGACTTTTTACTTTTTACTAACCTGATGTGTTCTTTTATTTTGACTTAATGGGTTCAGCTCTTAATGTGTACACATATGTCTGTTTCTTTTTACTTAATGCATAAACCGGTCTCAAGTCATTAAGCGCAAAATGTTGGCTTAATACATATGGACCCAAATCTTTACCATATCATTTAATGGGTTTTCTCCTTGTTCATGTTTCTGATTTTATGGGTTTTCTCCTTTGTATATACAACGTTTTATGCAAACATATATTAGTATCCGTTCAACCATTTTATTTATAATGATTTAATGGGGAAAAAGAAAGACACTAAGATGTTAATTGCACTTAAACAAACTTTTTTTTTTCAAACTATCAATTTTTAGTTTTTTACAAGAAATTGCATTTTTGCAGCTTTCTCAAGATAAAATATTATGTCCACCTGAATTTATTAAAAGATATATATTTTTTTTTGATGTTAACGGTTATGAAAACCCAATTTATTTATTAAAAAGAATTTGTTCTGTTGGTTATAGCAGAACATAAGTAGCCAGCAACGAAGGAAAAAAAAAAACAAAGCGATAAAGCTCAATGGTAATGGTGGTGTGTAGCAGCTGTATGTTACGGCCGTTCCAATCGCCGGTGGTCTCCTTAGCAGCGACAGAATCACCATCATCGTCGTCTTCGTCTTCGTCGTCATCTTCATTATTTAAGAGCATCAGGCATAAACATACGCCTGTATTTCATCGTCCTCAATCTCAACCACTGGTCATCGAAACTACGCTTGCCGAGACTTCCAAGGAGGATTCTAGTGTTCCATCTCGACGCTTGATTCTGCTTCGTCATGCAAAAAGCTCATGGGAGGATCGCTCACTTAAAGGTACTAATACAAATAACAATTTTGCCCTAGTTATTCTGATGCAACTACAAAGTTTTTGCAATGACAAGCGCACACAAGTTTCAATTCGTGGTTTCAAATTTCCCAACCTTACGTCATTACTCCATATAATCCGAGGAAATTATGCTAAAAGCTCTCTACAAATTGTTTTACTTGATGACACAATCATAATTGATTAGTTATCAGTGTTGAACTTTAATATTAATCGGACTCATGGTGAATGAAGAATCTTACTATTAGGTAATTCGAAAAGCTGAGTGTTACAATGTTGTATGAAATTCAAATGCATCTGCAAACGTAAAGCACAACTATTCAAATGCATAACCTCTAGCTAGCATTAGCCTTTCTAGCCACTATCATTTGCATTCTCTTAGTTTTGTTTCTTTTCTTACCCTTCATAGACCATGATCGACCTCTGAAGAAAGCTGGAGAAGCTGATGCTATACAAGTCGCTTACAAGCTCCAACAGTTGGGCTGGATTCCTGAGCTTATTTTATCAAGGTAACAATTATCTTCTTTACATTTGCACATACTATTTTGATATTGAAAGTGTTGCTGTTGTTGATGCAGTGATGCAACAAGAACAAGACAAACTCTTAAAATCATGCAGGAGCATGTAGGGGCATTCTTGGAAGCTGAGATACATTTCATCTCAAGCTTTTATTCTATTGCAGCAATGGATGGGCAGACAACTGATCATCTTCAACAAGCTATCTGTAAATATGCCAGAGATGAGATACTTACAGTTATGTGAGTTCTTGTGACTGTAACAGCTTATTTGGCCTTCAATGTGTTTGCATTTAAGTATTAAGAATCTTTAATTGATTTATAATTATATAGTGAATTGATTAAGAAGTTATGTTGGAATTTCAATTTTCAGGTGTATGGGACATAATAGAGGGTGGGAGGAGGCAGCCTCCACTTTATGTGGGGCCTCCATACAACTCAAGACTTGTAATGCTGCGTTGCTTCAAGCTGCTGGAAAATCATGGGAAGAGGTGCTTACACTTTTCATCTTTCACTCTTGGAAAATTACATAAAAGCAACTGTATTCTGGTCATTTTTGTGGTTTAAGTTTAACCACTATATTTCAGTTTTGTCAACGACAGACACCCAAGTTTTACAATTTTTTTTTTCTATGTTGACCACTTTGACATGTGCACAGTAGAAATTTTGTCAAAGTTTAGTGGCTTTAGTGAAAATTTTGACACTAAATATTCCATTAAAACCTATAGCAGGTCAAAGTGGTAGACAGAGAAAAAATTGTCAAAATTGTCATTGACGAAACTGAAATACAGTGGTTAAACTATAAAATGGGCAAAATATGGTGACTTTTATATTATATAATTTGCCCATTTACTATCTTTGTTTTTAGTTATTATGTTATATATATTTGTTTATTGTGAGTGATTACAAAGTTGTAAATTGTAGGCATTTCTTTTGGCGGGACATGGTGGGTGGAAACTACAACAATTAGTCAAGCCAAATGGTGGCCCTTAGATATATAGAATGACTCTGTTATGATGATAGGCTTATGTTTTTTTTTTTTTTTATATTTTCTAAGAACGTATATAATATAAATTTAGAATATATCAAAAAGTTTAATTAAAAAGCAAAACGTCCATCTCATAATTAGTGTACACATGGACAAACGTATGGTGGAGGGTAGAGCTAAAATCTCCCAATTGTGTGTTATGTCATCATCATACAACTGGTTTTGTGGGTTGTACCCTAGTTTCAATTGATAAAGAACGCAAGTTTAATATTGTAGTTGAGTGTATAAAAGATATTATATATATTTTTTATTTTTCCAGTTTAAACTTAATTTTTTTTTTTTAATACAAAAAGATCTTTACACTTTTTTTTAGGTTCGGCTCTTTTAGCGGGTTTACTGACAAATTTTCTGTTTAAGAAAAAAAAAAAACCGAATGAACATTAAATTTTTCCGAAAAAACCCATATATTTGAAAAATATTTTCTTGTTTGTACAATCCATTTCATTTTAGCTCAAGACTTTTTTTTTTTTAATTATAAATATTATTTGTGGTATTCTTTATGGTTTTCAACGTTAAAATCCAAAGAAAACAATTGATTTGCTTTTTGAAACAAAGAGAAAGTTGTGTATAGTTCTTGTCAGAAAAATACTTATTAAAATCTATCTATAAGATGTTTTGAGAAGCAAACATATAAATAGCAAACAACAACAATATAGACTGACTTGACATCTTATATTATTTTTAGAAGCAAACATATAAATAGCTTTCAAATTTTATTTTATGTTTGAAATCTAATTTCAATTTTCATGTTTAATCCCTTAAACATTTTAAATCTTAAAATTGTTTTGATCCATAATAATCTTATTAAATTCCTTTGAGGCTCATTTTCCCACTAATAATGTATTAATAATAGCATAGTCATTTTTTTCAAGCATTACATTATTATTCAATTTCAAATAAACATACGGAAAACCTTCAAATTTGCAAGCGCAAAACCTTTTGTTTATTAATAACGTATTAATAATTAGCATAGTCATTTTTGTCATTTTTTTTTTCATGCATTGCATTATTATTCAATTTCAAATAAACATACGCAAAACCTTCCAATTTGCAAGCGCAAAACTTTTTGTTGGTTAATCGAAGGTTCTGCTCCTACTAATTTGAAGTTGAACGATGATATGCCCACCGTATGGGCTAAAACTAATTAAGATATATTTTTGAAAACATTTATTAATTTCAGAATTATTGTAGAATTTAGGCTCATAAACTTATGGCCTCACAATTATCATTGAAAAGTCAAGGATGTATAGTTAGATCATAACATAAAGGCAAAGGTTAATCACTACATTATTAGTGACCTAAAATATCCAAGCTAACCCCTTTAGCTATGCTTCATTCTTCTAGTCAAAGTGTATGTCAAAATAATAAGTTAGACTTGGGGAGCCTAGTAAGTAAACCCATAGTTAGGCTTTTGAATTGGATTTGATAATGGAAATAATCAAAATGCAAAATTCTAACCCTCAAAATATTTTTAAAATAATTATATATTTGTAAGACATGTGGGGATAAAAAAACATTAGAAATAACCAATTCAAAATCAAGCAAGTATGTAATGCACATATAACCAATTCAAAATCAAGCAAGTATGTAATGCACATGCTTCTAAATTCCCAACTCAAGTCCTCTTACACTCAAAACAAGTCTTTTGCATTGATGATTCAATGACATAAACAAGGTAGTGACATCGTACCTAAAATCAGTTTAGAGGCCTAATAATAAATATCAACATTTTGGAGACATGTGCCACCCACATGAAACCATAGAATGTGTTTACAAAGTCCATCCATTAAATAGTATCGACTTATGACTTATACGGTAACCAATATCGAAAATAAGATTTAATCCTAACTAAGTTTCTGGGAAAGACTTAAGTCAAACCATCCTAAGTGATATACATATATAGGATACTTAACAAATTTTCAATCAATATGATATTCCCCCAAATGAAAATGCATTCAAAATATGTTTTGTGGATGTACCAACATACACATAGTAGCCACATAACAAGCAAGAACACCATAATATAGATTAAGTCCAAAAATATCAAAAAGTAGTGATGTGGACATATATTTTTGGTATTTATTCATCTCAACTGATTGACAAACCTTCTCTCTTATTCCAAAACTACGGAGCTTCTTAATCATCACTTATTGAAAAAAAAATTGTGATTACAAAATGATCAAAATATCCATATGAAGGTCTCTAACTTCTTTAAACTCATTTAATGATTAAGACCATTGTTTCAACTCTATATGAAAGTTATGGAGGTAAATAGAGCTCAAATGCTTAAAAACAAGTCAAAAACTTGTTTTAGAAGTGACACAACATTACATAACCCGTGTAACAATAGCCTTGAGAATTGCACAAACATGTAATATGCATGGCTAATTCATACAAAACTTTCTTCCGTTTTGAGCATTATATTATGATCCAAATGACTTTTAATCCTCAAACAAGCTCTTAATTGACCTTACATACGTTCAAAGACCTAGAGACTTATTAAACTACTTTAACACATCTTAACTAATGATGAGTTTTCTAGGTTATAAAAATTCATGTGGCGGAAATGTAACATCCTGATCCCAGGTATAATATTTAACTAATTTACATTCATAATGTCAGAGCAACCCGACGAGTTGGACGCCCCCAACTCGCCGAGTAGAGGAGTTAATGGTCGTGTGATTTTTAGCGTCTACTCAACGAGTTGGAGAACCCTAACTCGACGAGTAGGATCTGAGTGAGAAAACCCTAATTTTCAGGGTTTGAGTCCTATTTAAAGGGCCTTAAGCCTTCATTTACGCCTCCCTTATCATCTTAACACTCTGAAAGAAACCCTAATCGAGCTATAACCTTGTGTGAGAGAAAGAGAGGCTAATACTTTGTATTTTAGTGCATTTTTGGAGGAAGGTTGAGGAGCAAAAGGCTTTGGATGAGAGGGAGCTTTTGGATCCAGTGTTTATTCATTCCTAGCTTCCGTTTGAAGGTAAAAAGTTACCACCTTGATCATTATTTGGTCAGATCTTTTTTCTAGGGAGTTTAGGGCCTTTTCCTATCATTCTTTGAGTTCTTGAGTTGTTTGAGCTTGCCATGGAGTTAAGACTTCAGATCTGGACAATATGAGGTCCCTTGAGCCCAAAGGTCCAAGCTTTATCAAGCTA